GTGATTTAATTTTTCAAACATTATTATTCATCTTCCATACGATCGGCTATAAGGACTATGTCATCTGCAAATCTTAAATGACTGAGCTTCTCTCCATTTATATTGATACCGTGCTCCTTCAGATGCACTTCAGATGTGCAAAAGAGTCATGAATAGCTTTGGAGAGACTGTGTCTTCTTACCGTACCCCTTGTTATATACACAATTTATTTGTTTCTTCTTAAGATAGTCTTAAGCTAGCTGTGGCATTTTGGTAGATATATTTGATTATGTTTGTAGCGATGGTCTATTCGGCATGCTGTCGATGCTTTTAACATTTTCTGATGGCTGATGGTAACGAATACATTCACGTAGTAATGGTTTGTTATATTCTGCAGACTTCTCTATAAGGTTCTTTATCACTAGTGGTCGTTAGTTATAAGTGGTCGTTAGTGCTGTATCCCGATCAAAATCCAGCTTGTTTTCTAGGCTGATAGAAGCCTAATTTAGCGTACAGCCTTTTTTTGGTAATGTTCGTAAAAAGTTTATATATATATATATATATATATATATATATATATATATATAATATAATAATATAAAATAATAATAAAATAATAATAAAATAATATAATAAGATCCAGAAAACAACACAGCTCAACACTGCCTAGACACATTAAAACAAAAACTCTCGATTTATTCAGGTCGCTTAAGGAGATACAAAGTTAGTAACAACCGTAAATGCGACAATCTACTTTTTGAGAATTCAGAGAAGGCTTTCTATAGGAAACTAAATTCCACTGTAGAAAATGTAAATAAATCCCACCCAAGCCAAGAAGAAATTCATGAGTTTTGGGGAAATCAACTTTCGACGCCAGCTACTCATAACAACAATGCTGGATGGATTGAAGACACGGCAAACAATTGTCAACACTACAGGAATATTAATGAACCTTTCACCACTGAAGAAGTCATGAACATCATCAAAGAGCTTCATAACTATAAATCTCCTGGACCAGATGGAGTTCAAAACTTCTGGTTAAAGAAGTTTTGGAGTGTTCATGAGCTTTTAACAGTATTTATTAATAATATTATTTCTAATTCACAGGAAATACCATCATTTCTTACTCAGGCAACCACTTATCTAATACCGAAGGATCAAAATAACACCCAAGATCCAGCCAAGTACCGCCCAATTACTTGTCTTTCAATATTGTACAAATTGGTCACATCCTGTGTAGCCCAGCGTATCTACCAACACTGTGCTCTGAACAATATCATAGAGCCTCAACAGAAAGGATGCGCTAAGGGCTCCAAAGAACAACTTATTATCGACTCAGACATTTCTAACCAGGCATATACCAAAAAAAGAAACCTTTTTACTGCCTTCATTGACTACAAGAAGGCTTTTGACTCAGTGCCGCATGAATGGCTTATAGATATATTGAAAATATATAAAGTCGATGATAATCTCGTGACCTTTTTAAAGCATATAATGACAAAGTGGAAGACTAAAATCCACCTTCAAATACCTGGTAAAACCAATATCGAAACTGAAGATATTGCTATTAACCGGGGCCTTTTCCAGGGGGACTCGTTGAGTCCATTTTGGTTCTGCCTAGCGATGAACCCACTATCTCAGCTGCTGAACTCCACTGACTCAAGATTTAGCATCAAAAATAACAACACTGTTGTGGCGAAGCTTAATCATCTGTTGTATATGGATGATTTAAAGTTAATGGCTTCCACTCGAAACCACCTAGATCAGATGCTAAAAACTGTAGAAACTTGTAGAAACTGATATAAGTATGCATTTTGGACTAGACAAGTGCCGTATACTAAATATAGTCAGAGGAAAGGTTCAGCCCGGAGGTTTCGATATGCAAGATGGCCAAAACATCGATGCAATGGGTGAAAATGATGTTTACAAATATCTCGGAGTAAAACAGGCGCGGAAAATTGACCATAAACAGATGAAAACTTAACTAACTTCGGAGTTCGTGCGAAGAATAAGACCACTAAATCGGTCATATCTTAATAGTACAAATTTGTTTAAGGCATTAAAGCTGAGCTACTCATTTGGTATTATAAAGTGGTCAAAAACGGATATAGAGGGTCTTCAGCGGAAAGTAAGAACACTTCTCACAAAGGCGCAAAAACATCATCCACGCAGTGCAGTAGAGAGAACAACATTGCCGCGGTATCAAGGAGGAAGAGGAAGCAAGAAAAAATGCGCACCTGGATAAGTAAACCTCTGCATGGGCGACATCTCAATGAGATCAGCCAAGAATATGTAGACAATACATCGTCGAACTATTTGTTACAATCAGGAAAGATGTTTCCCGAGACTGAAAGTTTCCTACTTGCCATTCAGGATCAGGTAATTCCAACTAAAAATTACCAAAAATATAATATATTGTTAAAGATCCTCAAGTACAAAATGACAAATGCCGATATGGATGCCAAGCCCTAGAAACCATCCAACATCTTACCGGTGGCTGCCAGGCATTTGTCGGTACCGATTATAAAGAACGCCATGACTCAGTAGGACAGATTATCCTTCAAGAACTAGCTGACAAACTGGGACTTCTCCAAACCGACCATCTTCCTTATTATCAATATGTCCCTGACAGAATGCTTGAAAATGACAACTACAAACTATACTGGGACCGCACTGTGCTCACAGACCAACCAGTGGCCCATAATAGACCGGATCTCATACTAGTGAATAAAATTACCAGGCAAACAACACTTATTGATGTGGCGATACCTAACACTAACAATTTGCGTGTTAAATACAACGAAAAGATCACCAAGTATAGAGATCTTGCAATACAAATTAAGAGACAATGGAGAATGGAAAGTACCCAGACAGTACCTATTGTTCTATATACTACTGGTGTTATTCCCAAAAACCTCCTAGCGAACATAAAACAACTGGGTCTAAATGAACATCTTTATAAGGCTATGCAGAAAGCTGTACTCCTCGCGACGTCCAGATGTGTACGAAAATTTCTGGGAGATACTCCAACATAAGAAGTCACCTAAGGCTCGATAACACGAAAAGAGTCCCATCAGAGCTCAATCCTTTTGATACCGTAGGTATCCGGGATGAGTGAATTTTCCCCTTAGAGGGAGTGTGAGCCGTATGACTAAATCTGGGAATAATAATAATATGTGAAAGCAAGCTGATAGGACGGTAGTTTATTAAATCTGTTAAGTCTCCTTGCTTGTTTAATAAAGTAACGACTGCATTATTCCGTTGAGAAGGATTTTTTTCTTGGTAGATCCATTTAGTGAGATGCTTGGCCAAAGTCTGGATAATTTTATTTCCACCTAGTTTGATTGCTTTGATCACTACTTCGTCGTAGTCAGGGGATTTGTTATTTTTCATTTCTAAAAGTGCCATTTTGATTTCGTAGGAAACTCAATTATTTAAGCCAAAATGACTCTTTTTACCATGTGTTATAAGTTATTTGCAAAAAATTTCCATAACTCGTACCGGTACAGATACTGGAAAAGCCAAATTTGCCACATCATAAAAAAAAATAGAATAAAAAATTTTGTCCAAAAAAATAAAAAAAAAATGTTTGTGGTGGATCATCCGTATTCGCTTTGGACTACTAGCCCATGGGATATTTTTAATCGCTCATTTGACCCATCGTGAATCACATAAAAATCAATACTACAATATGTAATAAAAACTTTAGATACTATGCCGTCATTTCTTATCGGTACACAAAGCATGTGGGTTTCAATTAAGGGTTGCCTCTTAGGTTTCTCTCCCATGTCCCAGCTAAAATGTACATATATGTATATATATATAATATATATATATATATATATATATATATATATATATATATATATATACAATGTGAGCGAGATTAAAATCTCACTCTTAATGAGGATATCGGTCAAGGAGAAATAAAAAATGAAAAAACTATTTCAATATTGTAATAGAAAACGTTTCGTGCAGTATTTCTGCATTTCTTTTTCAGAAAGACGTTTATCTGCTTACCAGTAAACATACTGCAGGATTTTGCAAAAAAGAACGATATATTATAGGAGGAAATGTCCTTTATTATAACAAACGAAAACATATTAAATTCTACAATTTAATATGAGATCAGTTGATGCAGTGGACCAAGATGTTGAACCGTACAGTTCGTTGCGGAAATCCTACACGTGGTTCTCCAAAATCTATTGAACTCCAGAGTATTTTACAGCCAAGCTCATCATAAACAAGTTTCAATATATAAATATACAAAACTCTGCTACCGGGGATACTTCTGAAATGTAGTAAAGGATATAAACAAATAAATGATAAAAAAAATCAACCTAATCTACTACATCTGGGAAACCGTTGCATGCAATGGTCGATTTTCCAAAAGAAATTGGAAAAAGGAGGTACTCTAGGAAAAGTTTTTGAAATTTGTAAAATACTTTGTTAAAAGAAAAAAAATTTGTACGTAAAATAACAAGAAAATGTTGCATTGCTTGCCCGGATAAATCTGGACTTTGCTCAGGAACATTTTGAAAGTAATAAAAATAATGTTCTTTTGTGTTTTGCTTTGTTCGGAATATAACTAAATTGTTCACTATCTTTTTATATGTTTTATTTTTTATTATTTGGCGTGACTTTATAAATTAAATACATAGATACATTTTAATGATATTCAGATGTGGATATTTTGGTAATACATTTGATATCCAAGGGTGGATATACTGGTAGACCCAAATATCCTTATGTGGATATTCCGGTAAACACTATAAATTGTCATATAAATTCAAATTGCTTCAAACGCTTTTTTTGGCCCCTATAGGTGAATATTTTTTCTATTATACATCATAACTATCGTAAAATGTATTTTCATTAAAAAACTTTTGCTAGTGTACAGCTCCCTACCTCAAAAATGGCCTGGAGCAAAAGGAGTTTTTTCACATCCATTAACAGTTTTTTTATATCCCAAACAGATCGTCCCATAAAACTCTAACAAATATTTTTTAAATAATACAAAAGTAATGAAAAATATATATTTTGCATAAAAAATTACTAAGGGTGCTATAAGAAAACCAGATTTCTATTGTCCTTATCAAATTATTTCGTTTTATCTTTGGGTTTATCATTTCCATGCTTTCCATTTTTATTATTCTTCTCAGGTTTCGTATCCTTTGTATCTACAGTGTTTGTGTATTGAGAAAGGCTTTGTGCATCCGGGTCTTTAACGAGAATATCGGTCTCCTCTAACGTACTTCTTCTACCACCTACTTTTGGTTTTGCTGCTGCTTCTAATTGAGTTTTTGTAATTAATGAAGGCGGCGGTATGTCTTTACTAACTATAGACACTCTTGGTTCGTCGTTTGTTGAATCGCTTGAGTCAGCTCTAGCTCTGGTTAAATCTATAATGAAATTTTATATTATCGTTATCTTATTTTTATTAAAAAATATTAAATGAACATAAAAAATATAAATTTGAGAGGACAAATAGCTTAGCAGTTTAATAAATTGCAAAATGGAAACTGAATGAAAATACCGTAGCATTATTATACACAAAACAAAATTAAAAGTACTCTGGTACAAGTACATTATTAAAAATTTAAAAACTATAATTTTCCTGATATAAAGAAAATATTTTTCTTTGCATCTAACATCAACCAGGAGTTATCAGGAATTTTATATTATAGGAATTTTATAATATCAGTTATAGTTTTCTTTCCGTAGGATATTTCGGTTTTAAGCTGGAAGCGATTGTTGGATAGAACCTGGCATAATAGTTTTTTTTTATTTTAGCAAGCATCATTACCAATATAGGATTATTGATTAAATAAGTACACAATAATTAGGCTTCAATACATTAAATGACGATTATGATAATGAAACGAATAACCAAATAGATAATACATTCATCGACGCAAGACACTGCTCTAACTTATTAGATGTTAAGTCTTTTAGGGGAACAAAAAAGGAGAGAAAAAATCGACATCTTCTTCTTCTTCTTCTTCTTCCTTTTAGTATGTAGGCTTTAAAGCTTGTTTCTTTTTTAATATTAGCCTCCTAAATTGTTTAAATTGTCGCACCATCCTTTTTTGGTCTGCTAATACTTCTTCGTCCATTTGGTGACTTATCTCGTGCTATTTTATCCTCTGCCATTCTGCTGATATGTTCCTTCCACTCCTGTTTTCGTTTTGTTACCCATACATTTATGTCTTCTATATTGCATATACTTCTTATGTTTTCGCTTCTCTCCCTATCCAACAGACTTCTCCCTGATATGCGTCGGAGTATTTTCATCTCTGTTGTTTCTAGCAGTCGTCTCGTTTTAGATGTGTCAGGTCTTGTCTCCGTCGTGTATGTTAATATAGGTCTAATTGCTGCTTTAAGTTTTGATGTCGTACTTCTTCTTCAACATCTCCGTAACTAGTTATCTGTTCTCAAATATCTAAACCTTGCTTCCTGATTTATTATTTTCCCATCAATTTCGATTTTACCACATAGTGGGTATTTAGATGTCATTCATTTGTTTTTTTCTGCTGATATTATCATATTGTATTTATTGTTATATTGAAGATATGTGTTAATCTTTGAAGCTCGTCTTCTATCTGGGCGGTGTCGTGTGCATAACATAATATTTGGATTTCTTTGTTCCCCATTCTGTAGCCATGACCTTTACGTACTGCTTGTATTATTTCGTCCATTATCATATTAAAGAGAAGTAGGCTCAACGAGTCACCCTGTCTGACCCCGCTTTGTACTGGTATATACCTTTTAGTTTTACATTGATCTTTGCTTGTATTCGATTTTGGAGGTAGATGTTTTCGATGGTTTGTATAATATTGATTGGTATGTTTCTTTTATACATTAGGTATAAAACGTCTTCGACTTTGATGCGATCAAAAGCCTTTGTCAGGAATATAAAACATAGATATGCTGGTTTATTGTACTCGATGACCTTTTCTGTGATTTGTTTTTGTACAAATACAGCATCTACTCAGGATCTTCCGGATCTGAATCCTTGTTGTTCATCTGATAAAGTTATTAGTTTATTGATTTTATTGGTTAGGACTTTTGTGTTAAGCTTAAGTGCGGTGTTAAGTAGATTTATACCTCTATAATTTTTGGGGTCTTCTTTATCTCCTTTCTTGAACATTGCTATCAATATGCTGTTTCTCCATGAGTCTGGTATCTTGCAGTGCAATATTAGTTTTTGTATAAATTTTGTCATCTCTAGGGTTATACTTTTTCCTCCATATTTTAGAAGCTCGTTGGTTATTCTGTCTGGTCTTGATGACTTTCTATTTTTGAGCGAATTTATAGCTTATTCTACTTCTTGAAAATTAATTTATATTTCATGTCTTAATTCAGGTATGTTATTGTGTTGATTATTATTATTATTTTTCTTTGCTAAACATTTCCATCAGGTATCTTTCCCATTCGTTTGCTGTTATGTTATTGTATTTCTTCAATTTTGCCATTTCTTTCCGTTGGTTTCTTATAAATCTCCATATTGGTTTTTTGTACCGTAGAAGTCGCTTTCCGTCCTTTTTGTAAACTATTTCCAGTATTCATTCTTTGTTCTTCTTATCAACTGCTTTGTTTCATTTCGTATTCTTCTATAGTTGTCTCGGGATTCTGGGGTATTTGATATTTTGTACTTCGTGTATTCCTCTCGTTCCTCTTTACATTTCTTTTATTTCTTTACTGAACCATGGTGTATTGTTGTTGTTTCTTTTGTTTAGTATGACTTTGCGTTTTCCTAGAGCTTCTGTTGCTACTTCTTCAATGTCGTTTTTAATTTTCTCCCTGCACGCGTTTATATCTTAAGATGTCATCTATTTGTTTCAGCTATATCTTCTGTGCTAGCCTCCTTTGGTAAATTTTTTTTTTTGAGTCGTTCTACAACAATTTTACATTAAATTTTTTCTCGTTGATTTACTGTAGAAAATTTTGTGTTATTTTCATTCTTATCTTTGCTAGTACTAATTTGTGTTATCATATTAACATTAACACAAAAAGACATTAATACACTGAAAGATCCCGACATTGCAAATGTATACAGATAGCAAATAGAAAATTTATTGAGGATAAAAAAACTTAAAAGAAGAATACATTAACCAACTATGGGCAAATATACGAGACATTGTGTTACAGAAATCGGTTGAAATGTTGGGCAAAACCAAGTCAGACAAAAGAAATCATTGGTTTGATCATAAGTCCAAGATGACCACAAATATAAAGAACGCAGCATATAAAAAAACTATCGACGCAGGTTGTACATGGAGAAACAATGAAGAGTATACACCTCTTAGAAGAGAGCAGAAACATAACCATCGACGTAAGAAGAAAGAATACGAACAAAACACTCTCAGTAAGATACAAAGTTTATTCAATACAAATAAAACAAGAAAATACTACAAATACTTCAATAATAGTCGTCGAGAATTTAAACCACGATTAAAAATTTATAAAGATGCTAACGGTGAAATTTTACATCATAAAATCTCAGTTCTTAACAGATAAGCACAACATTTCAACGAACATCTAAATATAAAAGATATTGAAGGAGATTACAACATAGAAAATCAACAAAATCTACAACATCAATTACACAGTGAAGACCCAACAACAGAAGAAGTGTCAAATGCCATCCTAAAACTTAAAGACAATAAAGTACTAGGAATTGATGAAATCTGTTCAGAAATGTATAAAAATTGTGTTGATCAACTTGTTGCAGCAATCCATAAATTAATAGTACTTATATCGGAGAATGAATTGGTACCAGAAGAGTGGCTAAGGGGAATAATATGTCTGTTGCATAAAAACGGTGATTAACTGGAGTGTAAGAGCTGTAGAGGCAATACTCTGTTAGCATCTGTTTATAACATCTTAATATTGTTTGAGAGACTTAAACATTTTAAAAAGGATATTGTTGGTCAGCAGAGTCACTAGAATATAACATAGATACACACCATCTCTTCGTGGACTTCAAAGCAGTTTATGACAGTGTGAACAGAACTACATTATATAATGCAATGATCCCTTTGAGATCCCACCTAAGTTATTTAAGTTGACCCAACTAACAATGTTAAACGTTAGCTCATGCATTAGAATTGAAGGAGAAATCTCTAGGTTTTTTGACATTAATAATGGCTAAGACAGTGGGACGCACTAGCATAAATCTTTAATATTGCATTGAAAAAGGAAACCAGACAATTAAATATAAGAATTAATGGAACTATTTTTAATAGATCGACGCAAATTCTCTCATTTGCTGACGATTAGTAGTAATAGTAAGCAGAAGTGTGAGAGGTGTGAGAGACATGGTTCAGTGTTTTACAAGGCTTGCGGACACGGCAAGTGAATTAGGACTTGTGATAAATGAGAAAAAAAACGAATATATGTTTGTTTATACAAATACAAAAAAAAAACAAATATATTGTTTTTAAAAACCCTCGAAATATCAAACAGTGAAATATCCCCCGAAATATCCAACGACAAGAGACTACATAAAAAGACCCATAGCAATTGCAAACATAACTATTCACGGTCTCCAGAAACATTTAAAAAATGGAAATATAAAACGTGCAGTCAAGCTTAATATATACAAGACCTTAATAAGACCGATTTTGATATATGGGGCTAAAACGTGGACCTTATCTCAAAACGAGAAAGACTTCTTGGTATTTTTGAGAGAAAAATCTTGGAAAGGTTTTTAGGACCATAAATGAAAGTGGGCTATGGCGTCGAAGATACAACTTTGCACTATATCAATTATACACCGATCCAGATATTGTGAAATTGGTTAAAGTGCAGAGACTAAGGTGAGCTGGACACATTGCTAGGATGGCAGATCACAAATACACGAAGAGATTAACATTTTCAAAACCAGAATGCACAAGAAGCAGCGGACGATCACGAAGGAGATATATTGATGATGTGGAAGAAACTATACAGATTCTCAGGGTGAAAAGATGGAGTAGCGTTGCCAGGAATCGATAGGAGTGGCGACATCTTTGTGAGCAGGACAAGATCCACTACGAATTATCAAGCCACTTATAATGATGACATTAAATGACGAAGACGAAACAGGCTAACTATCGACATATTACGATTACGATATTGATTAACCGCAAGATATTGAAAAAGGTAATTGAATCTTTGTAGACCATACGAAATCATTTTACAGAGTAAGACTTGCAGATGTCCTTAAACTTTTAAGATCTGGAAGGGAATTTGAACAATCTTCAAAGAAATAAACGACAACAGTACATTTGTAAGAGCTGAGAACCGGCTGATTACGAAAATACCTATACGGACAGCGATAAGACACCGAGACAGCCCGATGGTTTTAAATTTGTTGACGAATGAGATCATAAACAAAGTTAAAACAGCACGAAGAACG